AGAGAGAGAGCACACGAGAGGGGGGAGGGTCAGAGGGAGAAGCAGACTCCCTGCTGAGCAGGGAGCCCGATGCAGGACTCGATCCCGGGACTCCAGGATCATGACCTGAGCCGAAGGCAGTCACTTAACCAACTGAGCCACCCAGGTGCCCCAGACAGAATTTCTTGCCTCTCTGGGGAGGGCTGGGAGATGGCCACGCCACACTGTCCACACTGGTCTTTAGCGATCAGTGCAAATTGCGCCAGAATCTCCCAGGCTATCTTGGGGCTCCTGGCTGGCTCATTTGGAAGAGCATGTGACTCTTGATCTCCGGGTTGTGAGTTCAAGCCCCACGTTAGGTGGAGAGATTACTAAAAATAAACTTAAAAAAAAAAATCTCTCGGTCCATCCCAATTACCAGCTCCTGGGGAAAAAATACCTGACTGGCCTGGCTTGGAATAGGGATGTATCAAGAGGGCTAATCAACTGTGGCCAAATGGTATGGCAAGAAGGTACAACAATGTTGTGGCCCTACACTACAGTGGTGGTGGCAGTGGGTGGCCTCAGGGAATGGGCCTTATGAGCTGAGCATATGCCCTAAAAGATCCTTGCCACAAGAGCTTTCTGGAACAATGGGTCCCTGACCCACCCACCTTAGGGCCCTGGTCCCTCTTGACTGGAGCAGAGGAAGTGTTTCCTCCCGAATTGCAGAGCATGGATGTGGTGTGGAAGGTCCTCCCTGCCCAGCTCCAGAGCAGCTCTATAATCGCTTCGTCTTCACACGTGGGCCACTGAGCATGGTCAGGCTGGGTTCAGCAGACTTGGGCTCTGGTGGGATTCACGCAGGCGGGATCCAGGGGGAGGTGTGGGACACCTGCCAGTCTCCCTGCACTGGCAGCCTACACAGCAAGGCAGAGTGGAGCATCTTCACATGCTCTCTTGGCCACAAGGGTGACAGGGTGGTGGTGAGAGGTCAAGTGGATCCCTGGGTGAAGATGCCTGGATTGGGGAACAAAAAGGCTGCCCTGGGAAGGCAGAGAGGGAGAGGGTGCTGAGCTGGTGGCACAGGATGGCCAGAAGCCCCAGGAGAACCTTGGAGATGAGACCTGCCAATCACAACACCAGCCAAGTCTGCAGACCCTTCCAGAGAGAGCTGTCTGGCCCAGGGGCACTGCTGAAAGGGGGTAATCACATGGCCAGCCTGGGGCAGCCAACCCACAGTTTGCCAGACCGGCAGCCCCCATGGGACCTAGCTTGGACCCTCCAGATTCGGGAGTTGGAGATGGGAAATACAAATTAGAAAGACAGGGGGCATCAGAAAAGGGCGACTGCATGGTTCCCCGAGAGGAACGTGAGGGTGCGGCATGTCAGAGGGAGCATGGTGCTACCCTGGCAGAGGAGGAGCCCTCTGGAAGCAGGACCATGATGCACAGGGACTGTTAGGGAAAGAGACCATGAGTCCTAAGAGGCTGGAAGAGCCAGGAAGGTGCACACTGGAGTGGAGGAAGAGCCCGGAGCAGGGACTTGTATTCAAGCAGAGCACGTTAGGTCAGGGGGTCGGAGCACGGCAGCTGTCAGGAAGGCCTGCCGGAGGTGTTACTCCAGGGCAGGTGCTCAGGCCTGCAGAAGTGGGGCTGCAATCTCTGGTCGAGAAAACTGTGCTCCATCAACACTAGCTTTATTTCCCCTACTGGTTCCCCTGACAGGCCAGCAGAGCTCCTCATGGGCATCCAGCCCACCCTGACCTCTGCTCAGGGCAGGGACCGGCTGGGGGCAGGGGGCAGGGCAGCAGTCCATTGGAGCAAGAGGAGGAGCAGGGAATCAAGCGCTGGGTGCAGCTTACAGGGGGCCTCACGGAGGGTCGCTGCGGCCCACGTTTGTGGAGTGGCTGAGCCCCATCTCCACTTGAGGCTCGGGGGAGCTCTGGGATGGGCCATTGTCCCCTAAGAAATCCTCCTCCTCCTGCTCATCCTCTTCCTCCTCATCACTCTGACTGTCCATGTCTACTACTTCCTGACGCTGATGAGAGCCCACGCCTGGGCCAGAGAACACGGAGGGCTTGGGCTCTTGCTGGCTCGCTGGTTCCTGCTCCTCGGCTGTAGTATCCTCCTGAGCCGCGAGCAGCTGAGAATCAGGAAACTCACTGTCGAAGCTGGACTCCATGGCCTCCTCCTGATCCGCTTGGGTGGCCGGCTCCAGCAGCGTGGAGAGGGACTCCGTGCTGCTGTGGGGCGCCCCGTGGTGGGGGGCCCCGTGGTGCGGGGCCCCACAGTGGATGGTGCCGTGGTGGGAGCTACGCTGGGAGGCGGAGTCATGCTGGGATGCTTGTCTGGACTTCTGCCGGGCCCACTCGGCCTCCTCCAGCCTGCGCAGCAGACAGCTCCAGTCGATCTTTGAGGACAGGCAGATGCGGGAGCCCTTCACTTTCTTGAAGCCCAGGAAGAGGTCCATGAGCGTCTCGGTGACAGGGAAGGAGATGAAGCCCAGCTGCTTGGAGAGGTTCTTCTCGAACTTGTACTTGTAGATGAGCAAGGACACGACCTGCTCCACCAAGTAGCTGACGAGCTCCTCGTACAAGGGGTTGGAGAGGTGGGATATGGTAGACTTGGAGGAGATGGAGGGTAGTGGCTTCTTCCTCATGAACTTGTAATTGGGGCTCTGTGCAACAGTCGGGGAGGGAAAGGGAGACACATCATGCCACTCCCAATGCCTTAGGGTGCCCCTCACACCCAGAACACCCTCCACGTCACCCACACAGATGCCACGCTTGTCGTCACACTAGCCGTACGGCCTTGCCCCATCTGCTATGCTGTCTCAGTCCACAGCTTGAGCACACGTCCTGCGTGTCAGCTGCACCCTCACACTTACCACAATGGCCTCCTCACGCTGACCACACCAGTCAGGCCTGCAGCAAGGCTGGTGACGTCAGTCATGGCGTCAGCCAAACTGGAGCCTGGATAACCTGGGCTCTGGTAGGTTCTCCCCCAGGCTAAGGTTCAGAGGAGGGAAGCCTGCCTGGGCCTTGATGGGTGAGACGAGAGTCAGGGGCTGTGGTGGGGACCTACCAGGGTGAAGCCACCTTTGTCTTCTCCATACCCTTCCTGAGCAACTCCCTCTCAGGAGACACACTGGAGAGTCCTGGCCTAGGTAGTGGAAGCAGAGGGAGCTGGACCTAGGATGCAGAGCCCCACTCTGGCTTAGGCTGCTGTCCACAAGGGACAGGACGCTGCCCACATAGAAGGGCCTCTGAGATTCACATGCAAACATTACAAAAATACCCAGGATAAAAAATAGGCTTTATTCATCTTTGACCACACCTGGCAGTAGCTAGGCCAGGATTTCTGCTCCCCATCAGCTTGTCACCTGCTCAGGTGGTTTCCACTGCGCAGGGCAAGATACCTGGGACAGTGGTTGCTAAAGGTGGTAGTTGAAGGAGCCTTTCCCATGCAGATCTTTCCTTAAGCTTCCTAGCCCCACCCTTGAGGTCTTGTCTGGGTACAGTGAAACAGGAGATGGGGAGAAGCTTCTTACCGAGGAGGCAAGTGGTGAGAGCACAGGAAGGTGGTGGGAGAAGCCAGGGCAGGGGGAGGTGAGAGGAGCTATGCCCCGGGTGGTGGGCTGGGTCTGGCTGGAGGACCCTTCCACCACGATCCTAGGGGCAGGCAGGGTGGGGTGCATGCTCCGCCAGGGATGGGCCTTCTGGCTGGAGCTCAGGGGCCCAGAAGAAGGTATGTGTGGTCTCTGTACTTCAGGGTCCTGGTCAGGAGCCTCCTGTCTGGGGTGGGGTGAGGGAACCTTGGGTTCTTCTGTGGGTGTCACCTCGATCCTGAATCTGGTGGCCACTTGGGTACTAGACACAGGGGAACCACCTTCCTTGGGCTGGGCCCGTCCTCTGCCCTTGGTGCTCTTTCTTCGAATCATCTTGGAGCTGGAGACTTGGGTGGGAAGCACATCGTAGGGCTCCTCCCCGTCGGTGGGTGTGGCTGGCTTGGAGCCTGTTGTGGAGTCAGAATTGGGCTCTGTTGGGGGCTCCCATTCTGATGGGAAGAGAGGGCAGCCATCATGGCGGCAGGCTCCACTGAGCTTGTCCACAGCCTGGCGGACCACACTCTGCAGGGCGGGGAAGAGGTGGTGCTCAGCCAGGAAGTCCAGGGTCTGATAGGGCTCACGGAATGAACAGTAGCCAGGCAGGCCAAAGGACGCTGGCTGGCTCAACAAGGACTTGATCTCCTTATCAAACCCTCGCTTGAGGAAGGTCAGTTCCTGTTCTCCAGGCCCGGGCTCTGATGTTTGCGGTGTCCCTGTGCTTGAGTCCAGCAGGCCTGAGAACCAGGACAGAGGTGGCTCCTGGGTCTGGGTCCACTGGCTGCTGGCCTGGCTGCCCAGTGAGTCCCACAGCAGGGAGTCCCTCCGGAAGCAGGACTGACCCAGGCCTTTCTGCAGAGAGAGGGGGGCTTTCAGGGGCATCCAAGAGCAGCCAAGCAAGGCCTAACCCTGGCCCTGGGCTCTGGACTGGGGTCCATCCCGCCCACCCTGGGCCATGGCCCTAGATCTCACCCCTCTGTTCTCCAGCTTCAGCAGCCGTTTGAGGTTCTTCTCCAGCAAAAGCCTGTCCCTCATGGATGGCAGTGAGCCCTTGCCACGGGTGCCCAGGTCACTGTCCTGGCCGTGGGAGCCCAGCCAGCCAGCTGTGAAGCTGCTATGGGAGTCAGATGTGGAACTGGAGGAGGATGGGTAGTTGTTGGGCCACCCAGTGCAGAGGCTGGGCCGGGCCCGGTGCCTGTGCGCGGTGCTGAGGCTGGGCCGGGCGCGCACCCGCCGCCCACCCCTCGGCACCTCGATCGGGTCCTGCACCTCCACCAGTGGCACCCCAGCCTCTGTCTTCATAGTGGTCATGCGCTCAGTTGCCTCTTCCACCACCGTCTGTAGGCTGTCTAGCACCTGACCCTCGACGAGGAAATCCAGGAAGCTACCAAAGGGCCGAGGGTCCCTTGGGTTTCGTCGGTGGCCACGGAGCCTTAAGCTGTCTGGGGGGGTGTACCTCGATGGTGGGTGCGGCATGTGGCCCAACTTGGAGGCTTGCCCCATTTCCGGGAACAGTGGCTTCTTAGGCGGCTGCACCAGAGCAGACAGGCATGTCACATAGGGCAGGGATGTTCCACAGGGGTAGCGTCCCTGCAGGTCCTCCTAGGGTGCCAAGAACTGAGTGGGAGTGGGCAGTGGAAGGAAGTGTGCTTTGGAGTCAGGAAGTTCCTGGATTTGGACCCTAGCTCTGCCACTGCAGGCTGACACCTGGGCACGATGGCCCCTCTTGAGATCCAGTTTCCTCTTCTGCAAAGTAGGGATCGATTTCGGGTCACCCTGATGCTTCCCCGACACATAGATTTCATATATACAAGATGTGGCTAGGGAGCCTGAAAGCCCACTTCTGCCCTCACACAGGGCAGGAATGGGCAATCACAAACCCCTCTGAGTCCTACTTGGGCTCCTCATCTGTACTTTGAGCAGACCAGCCCTGTCTCCACTATACAGACCACCTGTAGTCCTGACCCCTGGGCCCCCCGTGGCTGCTTCTGAAACTTTGAGGCTTGGGCCCTGAGTAGACTCCATGCTCCCACTCGGGTACCACTCTACCAAGCTCCTCCAGAGCTGCTAGAGGTCAGGGGACACGGTGAATGAAATTGCTGGTGACTAGGGCCCAGCGGGCGGTCAGAGGAGTGGTCAAGGTGATAAGGATGTCACTAAGAGGCTCAGAGATGAGGTCAATAGGCACTGAGAAAGGGGGGCTGTGATCTGGGGTGCTGGAGCTGGTGGGGAACATTCTGGGGCATCTTGGGAGTCAGGGCCCTGCCGGACACACTTACCCGGGCCACGTAGGTGGTGTGGCCGGCCTCGTCGTCTGCCAAGTATCCGGAATGGTGGCGGCAGCTGGTCATGGTGAGGATGCACCGGCCGGCTATCCTCCTCCTCTCGGGTTCCGCAGCGCAGCCACTGATGCCTCTCTGCGCCGGGCGGGGAGATGTCGTGAGGGTCTCCCTAGGCCTCCGTGAGTCCAACTCTCCCTTCGTCTGTCAGCCACTGCGTCAGCGGTCCCGGGGTCCGCGGGTCCCTCGCTCCCCTCACCCCACGTCCTTCACGCGTCGGGCCCTTCCGCTGCTCGGCGTCCCCTGGGCGTCTGCGCACCGTCCGTGTCCAGAGTCGCCGGGGGTGGGGTCCCCAAGGACGTCCACATGCTGTCTCCGACCATCTCTGGGCCTGAGTGTGTCCGACCCTCCCTCCTCCTAGACCCAAAACTCCCTGGCGTCTGCCCCTGGCCCAGAGCAGACCTGCTCACCAGAGTCCGCGCCTCGCTCGGTGCCAGTCAATGTAGTCTGCGCCCTCTCCAGGGCGGCGACACCGGGCTCTGGAGTCGCCCCCACCTTCCCCGCTTGCTCATTTACATGCTACGTCCTGATTGGCTCGCAATGCCTTCTAGCCCCCCATCCGACACAATGGCTGGGGTCGGGACCCAGACTGGCCCCTCCCTCGCCGCTCTGTCTTTGCCCCGCCCACACTCGCAGTGGTGTCAGGGAATGCCTCTGACTGCTCCCGCAAGCCAGGAGGAGTCGGGCTGCGCACCTGAGGGGAGCCCTAAAGGGTCAAAGCCACGGCCTCCTCTGGTGACAGAAGCACTTTCCTCGACTCCACTCTGGTCGCTGCGTTTCCTGGGCTCCTGCTCTCTGACTGCTCCTACCTAGGGTTCTCCCCTCGCCCAGCGTGGACAACCCCAGTGGGGGTTGGGGTTGGGGGTGGTCTTCAGCCCTCCCCCCTCTGCGGTGTCCCTGAGCGCAGCGTACGAGTCCCAGTTCTAAGGCATAGACCTAGCTTCAATTCCTAGCTCTGCTGTTTCCTGACAGTGTGACTCAACCTCTCTGATCATCTGCTCCTCCTCTATAAATAACTGAGCGTCCTTCCATATGGGAGTATGGAGATTAAATTAAATCTGCGTACAACACACCCAGCACTCCAATAAGAGCCCTGGGTATCTCTCTCTCCTTTCCCTCCTTTCCCCCTAGGCCCAGTAAACTAATGTCCCTTCCAGGTGTCACCTCCTCTGAGAAGCCTTCCCAGAAGGCCTGCCACCCCAAACAGAATTACCAAAAGCCCCATTCCAGACTCTGCCACTTGTATTGCTACTTGTCTACCAGATGGTGTTCCTTGGGGGTACGAACTGAGGCACTCCCCCCTAATCTCTAATATTTCTAATACCAGTAGGTGCTGAATAAATGTCAATTTCCTCTTTCCAATCTGCATGCCATCAGGGCCTCTGGCTTTCCAGGATCAGCTTCCCAGGGGAGAAAGATAGTTGAAGTCCAACAATTCAATAATCACAACTGAACACAACAATCCTTATGCCAAGAGCTTGATGAAGAGCACGATGAGGCCTCTGATCTGTACAACATCCCACGAGGAGCATATGATTTGTTATGCTCAAGCTCAGCTCTGCCCTCTCTGCCCCTGACCCAGAGGAGAGCTAGGGACTAGACAACCAGAGTAGGCACAACCAGAGCAGGCCCAGAGCTTTGGAGGCCAGTCCCAGCTCCACTACTCCTGGCAGGCTCACTTTGGGCAAGACACTTCTCCCCTCTGAGCATCAGTTTCCTCATCTGTAAAACAGGAATGACATTACCAACCTCATGGGCTGGACACAAATGCTGCACTTTCCATTGGGAACATCAGCGTAGCCACATCACAATAAAAACTCTCTGTCAACCATGGTGACTATTTGTATAGTCATCAGTAAGGCAAGTTTTTCTGGACTACAGAGGGAAAAAAAATGAGATTATAAATGTAAGTTGTAGCCTGACACAGAGTTCAAGTTGTGGAATCAGGGACTAATGCGTCCTCAAACGAAGCCATTGGTATACATGTTTTCTAACTTAGAACTTTTATTTTAAGAAAAAGAAAGAACGAACGAAAGAAAAAGCCTCTTCCTAGAAAAAAATGTAGTCAGTGTAGTCTGCGCCCTCTCCAGGGCGGCGACACCGGGCTCTGGAGTCGCCCCCACCTTCCCCGCTTGCTCATTTACAAATTGCCTATTTGGCAATTTGAAAAAGTTCATAGTCACTATCGAAAAATGAAACATTACAAGAACGAGATAACATTGATGTGATCATTATCGTCTCAAAACAACACAAAACTTTGGGGTGGGGGAGAAAAGGAATCGGGTTTATTTGCTTAGAAAAGTATTGGAAGGACGCTATCCAGAAAGTTAACAGTGGTGAACTTAGGGAAAGGTACGATAATTTTTTTTTCCAACAGGGTTTTTTTTCTCCCCCTATTTTTCATATTTCTTTTAAAGATTGTATTTATTTGAGAGAGCACGAGCAGGGAGGACGGACAGAGGGAGAGGGAGAAGCCCACGCCAGGGTGAGCAGAGAGCCCCATCCGGGGCTAGATCCCAGGGCCCTGAGACCATGACCTGAGCCGAAGGCAGACGCTTAACCGCCTGAGCCACCCAGGCGCCCCTGTATTTTTCATGCTGAATAACGTTTTTGCAGTTGCTGAAAATTCCGTGTCGCAATATCCAGCCATGGTGTTTGGTTAGGGCGAGCGCACTGTGTGGTGGGAGGGGATCGCTGCTGGCCCACACCGGGACCAGTAGGTGGCGAGAACAAAGACCAAGCGCAGCGGCGCCGGGGCGTGCGCGTCGGGGCGGAGCCTCGGACTGCGTCTAGGGTGGGGCTTGGATCCAGTCCTCTAGAGTCCTGAGCAGTCCCTAGGAGTAATCCATGGCTCGACCGCGCGTGCTGCTGGTGGTCACCGCTGACGACTTTGGTTACTGCCCGCGGCGCGATGAGGGCATCGTAGAGGCCTTCCTGGCAGGGGCTGTGACCAGCGTGTCCCTGCTGGTCAACGGCACAGCCGCAGAGAGCGCGGCGGAGCTGGCCCGCAGGTGAGTGGCTGCACCCTACAGGGTCTGGGCGGGCTTGGGGAGCCGCCGCTCCGGCCGCCAGTGCTCCCGTTCGCGCTCCGCCTGCAGGCACCAAATCCCCACGGGCCTCCACGCCAACCTGTCCGAGGGCCGCCCCGTAGGCCCGGCCCGCCCCGGCGCCTCGTCGCTGCTCAGCCCCGAAGGCTTCTTCCTCGGCAAGATGGGATTTCGAGAGGCGATGGCGGCCGGAGACGTAGCCTTGCCCCAGGTGCGGACGTTCGGCTGCAGGAAGAGGCTCGCGTTGACCCCCAAGGCTCGTCCCGAGGGTACCGTGAAGCCATTAGGGGCAGGGGCGCGCGATGGATGCTTTCCTGGTTCATACTGGAGCAGTCACGCAGAGGCACTTGGAGGGAGTCCTCCTAGGTTGCTGCTTCCCGACATTCAAGGTGCCTTGTCGTTCTCTCTCCAGGTGCAGGAAGAGCTGGAGGCCCAGCTGATACGCTTCCGAGAATTACTGGGCAGGGACCCCACTCACGTGGACGGGCACCAGCACGTGCACGTGCTCCCAGGTTGGGGGGGTCGTTGTTCCCTGGTGGGGCGCCCGGGATGAGAGGTGGTCCCCGGTAGTAGGCCGTGCTACTTCCTGACTCTTCCCCGCCCGCAGGCGTGTGCCAGGTGTTCGCAGAGACGCTGCAGGCCAACGGGGTGCGCTTCACACGGTTGCCGGTGGAGCGCGGGGTGGACGGCTGCGCGTGGCTCGAGGCCCCCGCGCAAGCCTTCGCCTGTGCGGTGGAGCGCGACGCCCGGGCCGCTGTGGGCCCCTTCTCCCGCCACGGCCTACGGTGAGGCCCTCCGCCCCTGTCCCGCCCATATCCCGCCCATATCCCAGTGGGTCCTGCTGGCCCTTCACCTGACAGCCATGGCCGTTCCTCAGGCGTCCACTGACGTCGCCCCCACCCCAGCCCTGCCCATCACAGCCCTGCTGGTCCTCGCCGCTGATGCCCCTACATCCACAGGTGGACGGATGCCTTCGTGGGCCTGAGCACCTGCGGTCGGCACATGTCTGCTCACCGCGTATCAGGAGCGCTAGCTCGGGCCCTGGAAGGCATACCCACGGGCCACACCCTGACAGCTGAGCTGATGGCACACCCTGGCTACCCTAGTGTGCCTCCGTCCGGGGGCTGCGGTGAGGGCCCCGATGCCTTTTCCTGCTCTTGGGAGCGGCTGCATGAGCTGCGTGTCCTCACCGCGCCCACACTTCGGGCCCGACTTGCACAGGAGGGAGTGCAGCTCTGCACACTCCACAGCCTAGACTCCAAGAGGCCTGGGGAAGCGGTCCTTGGAGAAGCCAGTCTGGAAACATTCCTGGAGCCCTCCCCACCATGCCCCTGACAGCCAGCCAAGCATAAATGTCCTTTAGTGCACAGTGTCAAGCCCTGGGACAGCCTAGAACGAGGCCGAGAGCAGGGATCCAGTAACATACTTCCCTGGGCAGGCCCCTGTCACCTCTGTGTCCAGGTCCTCATGGCTCAGAATGGCGGCCAAAGCTTTGGCAACCCATCTTGGCTGCTGGCAGGTAGGCCCTGTGACATCTGAGCCTGGGGCCTGCCAAAGCATCTTCCTTGTTCAGATATGGTAGAGAGAGAGTGCTGTATTAATAAAATGTATGTCTTGTAAATTTGGGTGGTTTTTATTTTTTTTAAAGAGTTTATTTAAAGAGAGAGAAAGAGAATGATCGGGCGGGGGGAGCAGAGGGAGAGAGAGAGAAGCAAACTCCCCGCTGAGCAAGGAGCCCCATGTGGGGCTCGATCCCAGGACCTGGAGATAATGACCTAAGCCGAAGACAATCGCTCAAACCGACTGAGCCACCCAGGGACCCCAAGTTTGGGTGGCTTTTAAACTGTGCCCTGGGAACTGTGAAAATGTTCAGACACAAGACAGGGCAAACGCAACTCCTTCAGGGCCCAAACCAGGTCATTATAACAGAATAGATATGCAAAACATACTCCAAGTTCTAGTTTTGTTCATGCTTAAGTTTATTATTTTGGGGGGAGGGAGGTTGGGAGAAGAATGTCTCACCAGGCTACTTTTTGGAAGGTAATATTATAATCTCAAATTTTATTTAAAAAGTCACTTGTTTTTCTTCCTCTTCCCCTAAGCGACCTGAGGTGACCTCTGAAAATGGTTCGCTATTCGCTTGACCCAGAAAACCCTACGAAATCATGTAAATCAAGAGGTTCAAATCTTCGTGTTCACTTTAAGAACACACGTGAAACTGCCCAGGCCATCAAGGGTATGCATATCCGAAAAGCCACCAAGTATCTGAAAGACGTCACTTTACAGAAGCAGTGTGTGCCATTCCATCGCTACAATGGTGGAGTTGGTAGGTGTGCCCAGGCCAAACAGTGGGGCTGGACACAGGGTTGGTGGCCCAAGAAGAGCGCTGAATTTTTACTGCACATGCTTAAAAATGCAGAGAGTAATGCTGAACTAAGGGTTTAGATGTTGATTCTCTGGTCATTGAGCACATCCAGGTGAAAAAAGCCCCCAAGATGCGGCATAGAACGTACAGGGCTCATGGTCGGATTAACCCATGCATGAGCTCTCCCTGCCACATTGGGATGATCCTTACTGAAAAAGAGCAGATTGTTCCTAAACCAGAAGAGGAGGTTGCACAGAAGAAAAAGATATCCCAGAAGAAACTGAAGAAACAAAAACAACTGGCCCGGGAGTAAGTTCTGAAGAATAAATACAAATAAAAATAAAAAGAGAGAAAAAAAAGTCACTTGTTTTGTTGTTGTTTTGAGGGGCTTGACCTCACAACTGTGAGATCGAGACCTCAGCTGAGATCAAGAGTTGGAAGCTTAACTGACTGAGCCACCCAGGCACCCCGAAAGTCACCTGTTCTAAACAGGCATCCCTTTGCTATCCTAGGGGCAGATCTAAGGAGGTCCTGAAAGCCTATTTAAAGTTTTCCAGAAGGAACAGTCTTCTGTGGAAATGGGATCCAGGACTCCTCACCAGACCTGGTAATGTGTACATGCCCTGTCACTGGGGCTCATGTGTCTTGGATCAAGGAGAGGCAGGGAGCAGATGGGGAAGGTGGCAGGGAGTTCTTGGGAGCAGAGAGTCCTGCCCCACTCTCGAGTGTGGAAAGGCAGATGGAATGATGATCTTCCTGTCTCATTTAATCTCACATAATCCCCTATGCACAGGGACCAATATCTCCATCTTACAGACCAAGAAGTAGAAGTGGCAGAGCAGGGCTTTGAAGCTACCTGCTCATTTATTCACCATGCCGTGTCAGGCAAGGAATCGGGCGCCCAAAGAGCTCTCTCAGCCTAGGCAGCCCTGAGGGATGTATAGCTTTCTGAAGGGGTAAGGGTGGGATCTTGCTCCTCCTTCCTGCTGCCCCCATCCTACACCTCTACCCCCTTGACTGTGGCTTCAGCCCACTCTTTTCTGGCTCCATCTTTCTTTTTTTTTAAAGATTTTATTTTTTTATTTGAGAGAGAGAGAGGAGAGAGAGAGAGAATGAGAGAGAGAGAGCATGAGAGGGGGGAGGGTCAGAGGGAGAAGCAGACTCCCTGCTGAGCAGGGAGCCCGATGCAGGACTCGATCCCGGGACTCCAGGATCATGACCTGAGCTGAAGGCAGTCGCCCAACCAACTGAGCCACCCAGGCGCCCTGGCTCCATCTTTCATACTAACCTTCCCTTGACCATGATTCTTTCATCAACAGGCCCTTTCCTCCTACCCTTCCTCCGTGGCTGTAAACTGGATTCACTTAGTCCCTCCTAGTGCCTTGCCCTCACCTCCTTGCCTTAGCCCAGTGGGGTCTGGCCACACTCCTGCAGGCTGCTGGCTGGAGCTGGTAGGGGTGGCCTGAAGGCAGCCTGTTGGCACAGAGGCACCTCCTTTGGGGGGGCGGGAGGGGGTTCCACTATTTTGACAGGAGGAGGCAGCTGGCTGTGGGGCTCTGAGACTTAGGACAGAGGTGTGGGTGGACAGGAGAGATTTGGGGTCTGCACAGACAAGATGAAGGTGCGGAGTGGGCTCCTGTTGCTCAGGGAGGGAGAGACGAGTGAGCGGGCTGAAAGCCCAGATCAGCCCTAGGGACCATTAGCATGTAACAGTGGAGAGAAGACAGGGGCCATGGCCACACTGGTAGAATAATCTGGAGACCGAGGTCCACCTCACAAGGGGAGGGAAAGTGATAAGGCAGAAGGCTGCAGGCCGTACAGGGCCTGTTGCGGAGCTGGTCATTAGGAGCCCCACTGGGGAGATGGGGGTATTCCTACATCAAACCTGCTGTGCACTGGGTGGCTTAGGCAAGGGGTTTACTGTTCTCCACCCATTCATCAGTTATGGAACAAAGGTCTATTGTGGGCCGGGCCAGGGCTGGGTGCCAGGACAGCCCAGCCTGCAAGGAGCTCAGTCTGGCATGAACACGGGGATAGCTGGTGTGATCCGGACTGCAGTGGGAGGGGACTGGGGGAGGAACACAAAGCAGAGTGTGGGCCAAAAGGGGATTCCTAACCAAGTCAGGCCTGCTTGGAGAATGCCCTCTGAAGAAATGACTTCTTTCTCTGGGCCTCAGTTATGGCCTCCGCTGTCAGGCAGCCCTTTGCGCTCTGATCCTCTGAGAGGCATGTAGGGTGCCCCAAGGAGCCCTTCTGCAAGAACGTGTTCCAATCACCCAGGAAACAGCTATCTAGCAAGTACCGCCTGAGCCAGGCTACCTTCAGCTCTGCTCGTTCTCCAGCTGGTGCCATCACCCCGTGCTGCATGAGGGACGCAGGGAGAGGAGGAAGAGCCAGTGCAGACGGGGCAGGAAGAACCAAGACCAGCTCTGGCTTTGCCTTCAACCGGGTCAGGGGGCTGCCCTGGCAGGGTGGGACATGGAGGTGCTGCCAACGAAGAAAGAGAGTGGGGCTGAGAGGCCGCCAGCCTGTGGACTGCGCAATGAGGAAGTCCTGGGGCCCTTGCCAGAGGAAGCCTCAGGGAGCCAGGGGCTGACAGAAGCCAGGCTGCCATGGGCACTGGAGTGATGAAGTAGATGTGTATTTTGAGCTGAACAATTAATACAAGAGTGAGGAAGGCAAGAAAATGGTGGCTCCGGAGTTGAGAAAGTTGAGAGAAGGTCCCGTAGGGCTCCGGATTTGGGAAGGGTCAGGCTCCAAGGAACCTGAGGGCTGGACTGTAACAGGCTCTGGAGCCAGACTGTAAAAACCCAGGCCTGGTTTCCTTGGCTGTCACTGAACCTCAGTCTCTTCCTCTGTAAAAATAGGGATAATGGTGTCCATGGCATTGTCTGGAGAGTCACGGAGGATGAAGTGCTAGAACACGGCAGAGTACCCTGCTGATGATCAAGGGAAAGGACCGGCTCCTTGCTTCCTGGTAAAAAGACATCCCAGGAAGGTTCCTCCTGGACACCTGCAGACCTATCTGACAGGGCAGGTCTGGTCTCCGCTGGTGTCAAATTCCAGACAGGGAAATAAGAAACAAGCATCACGGCCCCATGCTGCGTCAATACTACAACAGGAGGTCACTGGGACTTGGAAGCCAGATTCCTGGCTGGAATCATTCAAGAAAATGGCCTAGCCCCAGCCTCAGGCACACCCTCCTGAGTTTGGTGATGTTGAACAAGACAGCCACTGTTCAGACAGCAGACTCAGTCTGCTCCTCTAATAGTATCACTCTCTTGGGACTGAGAAGTGTACTGAAATGAGGCATATACATAGGGGCCACTGTCCCCTCCCCTGACACCCAAGGTGCCCCTTGGCAGGCCCTAATGGTCTGGATCTCCAGCCTTTTTGGCTTCCCTCCTGGGAAGGCCACACACCTCTGTGCTCTCTTCTGGAAAAGCTGGGCATGGGGAGAAAGGAGCAGGCAGAAGAGCGAGCCTGGGCCCTGGCCGTCCCTCCCCCGTCTACAAGAACATAGGCCCCGGGCTCTGCCCACTCCCAGTAAGGAAGAAACCCACAAGACCAAACCAGTGTCGGAGAGCATTTTTATTAAGGGCAGCAGAACGGGATCGCGGCATCTCAGAAAGCCTATTCTCCGCCATGGGTGTGGCGGGGAGGGGCAGGGTGGGCGGGGAGGACCCAGCGCACTCCGAGGAACCCGGCGGGCGTGAATTCCTGAGTGGGCTCGGGTCAGCGGTGGCTGCTCCACAGCTCTCCCCTTCTCCAGAGGACCCAGCTGTTTGGTTGTGCAGCAGCCAGGGCTGCCCGCCAGCGTGCTCAAAGCCTGGCCCGGGGACTGCCCAGGCTGGACGGGACAAACTGCCTAGGCCTGAGGGAGGGCCCACCCACTGCCTCGCTCTCCCAGGGCCAGGCCTCTGATGGGGCAAACCCTGGGCTGCCATGCCAGGGCTGGGAGTCCCTGAGGGGCTGCCGGCTTTCACAGAGGTATCCTCCCATGATGAGCAGAGAAGTGAGAGGGCGACAGGCGGGCAGAACTACGCTGGTAGAGATACGAAGCAATGGGACAGTCTCCAAGAATGGCAATATTTCTGGGTTCAGAGAAGCAATGAGAACAAATGGTGGCTTATTTGTATAGCTTCTGACAGAATTTGGCATTTTATTACAAATCTGCATGTGAGTGAAATAAAAGTCCATCATCACCTTTCTGCTAATGAAGAGACAGATGTGGAAACACTGGCCCGACGCTCTTG